TTCCAATCCAGATTATCTAGTGCATGGCCTATCTTGGGCAAGGCCAAATTCTTGATGTCATAATTGCACACGATTTTCTTCAAATTAGTTAGAGCACGCCATATATCCTCGTATACAGCAAAGATCAAGGACCATCTTCTAATCTCAGTACTCTTCCAACTTTAGGCTGCTGATTTTTTAACTCGTCCAAACGACCGAACTTCTTATAAAATACGGATGAGATTATTTTAGTCATCTCAAGATCTTGGGCAACATAGTGGGTTAGAGAGACGTTATGCGGAACACTAAAAAGATCCTGCCGAACTTCTGTGGTCACGCCTAATCTAGCACTCTTTCTCTCTGCGTAATTTGACAAAAATTCATTAAGCTTGGTCGCCGGTCATCTTTGATCTCATATTGAAGAGTTAGTGCTTCTTCTGTTTCATTTGAGCCAGCATAAGGTGCAAGACGATTTATGTGAACTACTTTTGGTTTACTTTACCGCAACTTCTTAATTCGCTATATTACGTCATTTATTCTCTTTTTTAATTTTATACGGACCTTTCCATTGTCTTTGCAATTTAGGAGACAAGCCTCGACGACATTGTGGATTATAAAGCCAAACAAGATCAACTACTTCATCATTTTATAAATGAATATTTTCTAGATAAATAGATATGCATATTTTGCATAAAATACTGCATATTTATGCGCATATTTCATACTTTTTTATTTGCATATTTGCTCAAGTCTATGCATAAACTACTGGGTTTACATGAATTATGAAAGCGCCAAATTGAAGAGAAAGGCTTATTTTATCAAATTTACTGCGATTTTAAGATATTAGGTAGCAACCACTATAAATATTCCTCTTAAGTAACATTTGTAACTATTTGTTATGTATATTTAAACAAAATTTCTTTTTTATTTATGTATTTTTATAGTTTTTATTTGAACCAACATTTGTAGGAATAATACACTCTTTGGAAAACAATTTATGTTATTTTTGAATTCGGTGCTTCAAGATTATTTACGAACAGTTAAAAAAACCGACAGTAAAAAATGTGTTGATCAGTGTTATTATTTTAATGTACTTACTAGTAAAAAATACTGAATTCTAATACAAATAATTATATTCTAATAACTCGTTTTAAATCATTATTTATGCAAATAAACGATGTATTTGTGTGTTTGTATTGAATTTTTACTTGCTAAAAAGTATTTTCTAACACCCAGTATTTAAATAGCGCTTAACCAGTTAAGGATATCCAAAAATAGTAGGTAGACCATGGATTCCTATTTTAGTCGTATGACACTGAATTGGAATGACAATAGAAGTAGATATTTTGCTATTTTAAACAATTAGGTATTCCTTGAAATTTACATTGCAAGTCAGTGGCGTGGAAACTTAGACTTTATAGAGTAGGTACTTAAAGTACTACGGTTGGTATATTTTTATAATAAAATTACAAACAATATACTATTTTTTTATTATCTGCTCCTAGTTATAGATGATTCAACTACATGCTTTACTGTCCAGTCGCCAGGAATTTGATCCCTAAAAAGGAGACGAATAAAAGATGAATTTTGCTGAGAATGCCAATTTTGGGACCTTAAATAAAAGGTGCAAAAAAGTGTGAGACTCCTACCCCCGGGCTTCCCTCTTAAACCCGACCTCGAGGGGGTGGGATATATTGATTTACCAAGAATATACACGCCGGTGCCGAAGAAAAAAATGTTTAAAAAAATGTTTCGTGGATCTGAGAAAGACATTTGACAGTGTAAAATTAAAGAACGTTATCTACTTATTGTACGCAAGAGAGGTACCTCTAGGAATGATCAAAACGATCAAAAATACCTACCAAAACAACACAATAAAAGTAAAAGTAGAAGAAGAACTAAATAACCCAATGGAAGCTGGTAATACTATAAGACAGGGAGATTCCCTGAGTCCTCTATTGTTTAACCTGATCATGGATAAAATAATTAAAAAGTAAGAATTAAAAAAGGATGCAAAATGGGAGAAATACACCTGAAAATAATCTGCTATGCAGACGACGCAATACTACTCTCTCAAAATGCGTGGTTATAAAAGCAAATTTGCTAAGATGTAAATTGGAACTGGAAGTTCAGATAATAGAACAAATGATGGAGTGTAAATATCTAGACATCACACTATCTAGCTAAGGAAAGCTCGAAAAAGAAGTGGAAGATCAAGTGAATAGAGTAAACAGAGCCGCAGGTTGCCTGAATGAAACAATATGGAGAAATAAAAATGTCGGAAAAGAAATGAAGGGCAGAATTTACGAAACAGTCATCAGACCAATAATGACATATTCGACAGAAACACGATTTGACAGAGAGAGGTCAAAAAAAATGTTAGAAACAGCAGAGATAAAAACTCAGAAAAATTGACACTATGGGACAGAACTAGAAGTAACGTTATACAACGTAGATGCTTGGTGGAGAACATCAAGGACTGGGTAAGAAATAGAATGGAACGATCACATAAGCCGAATGGCAACAAATAGAGTAGTAAAGACGGCGAGAGAAGGTTCATGAATATGAAGGCGATCAGTGGAAAGACCACGAAAATGATGGAATGGCAACGTACTGGAGGCACATTGAAAATAGACAGAGTTATATCTATTCAATTGTTTTTGTTTTTTTACATTATGCGTGATTAAAAAATAAGACTCAGATTATTTTTAACCGCATACCCCCTAACCACAATAACGTCATTTTATTTTTCAAAAGAAGCGTTTAACTTTTTTTGGAAATAAATTTTTTTATTTTGTGTATTTAATCAAAAATATATATATATTTTCTGATTTTTTCCAAATTTTTCCGTAAGGTTTACCTTCGAAGGCCGAAAAACTGGTTTCTTCGAGTCTTTTTTTGCGGTTTTCTGCATTGTTTAAAGTTTAAAATAGATCAAATCAAGGTGTTTTTATAGATTAATTTTAATAAAAAAAATATACATTTCTGATTTTTTCCAAATTTTTCTCAGTTTTCAAAAACTGATTTTTTCGAGGTTTTTTTGGGATTTTCTGCATTGTTTAAAGTTTAAAATAGATCGAAACAAAGTTTTTTTATAGGTTATATATCATTTAAAGTAACTGAGTCTATTACGAAATTCAAAAATTGGTCAAAGCTCCGTTAAACCTCAAAAACATGTTTTTTCAAGCTTTCTAAGAGGTGTTACGAGTTTTTGCGAGTTTATCATATTATTTAAGATCGATACAACCATCGTGTATGCGAAAACCAGATTTTCAAGCGTTATTCGGGGGTTTTACTGGATTTCCCAACTTTTTTATCTTTCTACATCATTAAGCAACATGTTTTCAAATTTTTTATAAAATAACACAAATCGATATACCTATTTCCCATATTCAGAGAAGCTAGAAATTTCTTAAATCATATGGGAAAAACCCGGTTTTCGTGGATTTTATTGGAGATCCATAAAAAAGTGTTTTTGAGGTTTTTACTGGAATGTAAATAGACTTTAGCCATCTCATATTATATGTAGAGAGGTAAAAAGTTGGATAAATTCAGTAAAAACCCCCAAATAAACCTTGAACACCAGGTTTTTTGCATAAAGAGTTGTATTTGCTTCTTTGCCATAAAAACCTCGAAAAAAAGATTGTTTTGGGGTTTAAAGGTGTTTTTCCCGATTTTTGAATGTCATAAAAGACTGCTTCACATTATTTAGAACCTATAAAAACTTTGATTTGATGTATTTTAAAGTCTATAAAATGGAAAAAATACACAAAAATACCTAAAAACAGTATTTCGGGTTTTTTGAAGCTGATATACGAAAAAATCTGGAAAAATCAAAAATTTTGTTTGATAAAATAAACAACATAAATAATAGACCTGCAGCTATTTCCAAGAAAACTTAATTAAGTTTTTTTTCGAAAAAAAAGCATTTTAACTGATTTAGCTGATCAACGACGGAACTGACGTCACATTATTAGCTACAATGTCAGGAATTTGACAGGTGAATAATATGAATATAGTTATTGATATTTTAATGTTACACAGGTAACATTATGTGTTAAGTCAATAATTTAATGTATTCTTTTTGGTAAATCAATAACTTCGTTAAATTTTTAAATTCGTGAGCTTTAAATACAAGGATAAATACTGTGCTGATTCATAAGCAGCAGATTAATTATAAATTAAATTAATAGAGTTACTGAAGGAAGAGAATTACGCCCTCTAAAACCTCTACAATGCAGATGAAACTGGGCTCAATTGGAAAGTTTTGCAAAGAAAAAATCTTGCATCACGTTGTGAATTAGCAGCACCTGTTGTAGTTGAAATAAGGAAGGATAATGCGACTGGCAGCCACTGATTGTCCATGCTTGTCATTGGTAAAGGCAAGACACCACATTGTTTTAAAACACTCTCCAATCCATCAATGTAGACTTGATGAAATGGGGACCAAACAACAGAGCAGTATTGATCTGTTGTCAGACCTGAGCGTACCAGAGAGCAATACAATAATTTGAATACAATAGGTGAGAGATCATGACTGTTAAGATAAATAAAACCAAGATTAGGAAATCTTGTTTCCTTAATTTTAAGAAAATGGCTTCTAAATGTCAATGGACAATCCAATAATACACCCAAATCTCTAATTTCAGTAACTGAATCCAAGAGTACATCATTAAAAACATATTAAGTATTATATGACATTGTATAATAGCTATTAGATTATTTATAGGACAAAAACATTTTTAACCCCCCCCCCCCTATGGGATATGGGATAAAAGATATAGCTATTAGAAGTTGATGGAAAATGAGGTAGAGGAAAACCGAGGAGAAGATGGAAGGACTGTGTGGCAGGGAACTTAAGAGAGAAAGGTTTAGGCAAAGAAGACACAATGGACAGAAATAAGTGGCAAAGAAAAACAAGGAATAGCATCCCCTAAAAAGGGAAAAGCTGAGGTAGAGGATAAAGAGGTTTTGTTTATTATTAAAATTTACGATATTCTAAAAAAGTAAATACTCATAGAAACTTTATAACCTATAATTTATTATTTATATGTAAATATTTTTGCTGTTCCATCATCAGAAGTAGTTAAAATTTTATTACTATTATTAAACATAGATATGCTTAAAATATCTGCTTGATGTCCTGTTAAAGTCTCTAACAAAGATCCAGACTTTACATCACATACATATATAGCTCCATCAGCAGCACCAATAAATATTTTACCATCATTACCCCATTTCATCACTGTAACAGCACATTCTATCTGAGCTTGATGCCTTAAAGTCTGTTTACCAATTTCCCATACACATAGATGTCCAGATATTGATCCTGATGCAATTATACCCAAACTGGAATTAAATAGTGCAACTTCTACTTCCTTTTCACCATCAGGTAATAAAATAGAAATTGTTTTACCATCACTTAGCTTAATTAGTCTAGATTCTGGAGCAGATATAGCTAAAGTTCCCTCCTTATTAATATCCAGATTGGTCACAGACTCAGCTTGATTATTACTCCACTCGACACTACACTCTTTAATGTTCCAAAGCCTAATGGTTCCATCTTCATACCCAGCAAGAATCTGTTTACCATTAGGTACTATTATACCACATGTTGTAGAAGAATTATTTTGAGCAACCAACACTTTACAATTACCTTGTGGTATTTGCCATAAATATATATCTCCTGAACGGCAACCGCAAAATAAAGCATTTGTTAATGGATGCCATTTTAACCACTCCAAGTCATCTCCTTCATAACACCATACAAGTTTCTTCTCTTGTATACTCCACACTTGTATCATACCAGCCATATCACCAGTAGCCACATATTGACAATCAAAGTTAAAATGAGCTTCGGTAACAGAATCTTTATGACCTGAAAATTCAAATATCACTTCACCAGTTTCAGTATTCCAAAGATAAGCTATATCATCTTCTCCCCCTGTAACAGCTAACGTATCATCTTTGCTCAAAGCTGAACTAAAAACAGCTTTTTTATGTTTTTGGAGAGTAAGGGATGATACATCAATTATCTGTTCCTCAATTTCCTCATTATTTTGATCTTGTAGACTGATATCATCTAACATATGTTCAACAGGTTCCTCTTCATAAAAATTTCCATCATCGTCTAATATTAGTTCTTCGAAATCTTCTTCATCGTAGACTTCGTCCATAATTATTACTAGATTTTACAACTTAATTTAATAAATGAAAGTATCATCTAAATTAATTTAAAACATTACTAACCTAACCTCTTTTATGTCACATGTCACATCCGCACCACATGTGACAGTTTTGACTTTTGACACTAAAATTAAAATCCGTGTTACCATCATTCTTCTTCTTACGGTGCCTTATCCTTAAGGACGTTGGCCATTACATTTGCCATTTAATCTTATTTGTAGCAGCCCTGAATATTTCTATGGAGGTCATGTTCGTCCATTGCCGTAGGTTTTTAAGCCAAGAGTTGAGTCTTCTTCCTGGTCCACTTTTGCTATTGACTTTGCCTTCGATTATAAGTTGGAGCAGTTCATACTTTGGATTTCCATCATGGAGTATATAAATATATCCCGTGTTAAAAGTCCTATGCTGTCGAGACCTTGAATATGTTATTCGTTGTTAAATTAAAGACCACAAATAAAAAAGATTAAGAAAAACAAAACAGAAGAATGAGAATTTAATAACTTAACCTATAATAGTTAATATTATTAGTAAATTAAATTATTTTTAATATTTTATTTGGCATCAATGAAAGTGGAATGTCTTTTCGGCGTACTTCATCAAATTTGTTAAAATTGTTTAAAAACGAATCCTTATTTAGCACGTACAGATTTAGTAGTAAGACAACAGGAGAATATTGTTTAAATTATGTTAAGTAAGAACTGGGATAAATGTGTAACTTAAATAGATTTATTTAAATTTGTTTTAGAAAATATGACTACGAAAATTTTGTTTGCACTCTGTTGCTTGAAAATTCTGCCAGAGCAAGTGCTTTAGCAGTGAGAAGTTTCAATATTGAAATTGCTCAGGTAGTAGAGAATGTTTCACAAGAAACTATTGGTCTTATGAGATTAAAGTTTTGGGAGGAAACTGTGGAAAAGTGTTTATCTACCAACTATAAATTAGTACCTAAACATCCTGTAGCACAAGAACTATTTAGGGTAAATTAGATAGAAAACAATTGATTTGAGAAGTAACACATTTATTTTTAGGCAAATAGTATGAAGAAACTTTCCAAAAGATATCTACATAATTTAATTAACTCAAGAAAGACCACCTTAAATATTTTAGGTTTTAAATCTTTAGAAGATATGGAAAAGTATACAGAACAAAGTGTATCAAATGTCTATTATTTAATTTTGGAATCATGTGGTGTTAAGAACATAGATGCAGATCATGCAGCTTCCCATCTAGGAAAAGCTCAGGGCATTGTACAACATATAAGGTGATAAATGAGAGTTAGGTAAAGCAATTTAGCATGTAGAAAAAAAATTAACATAAATTTAGGATTCACCATCAACTATAAGGAATAAACATTAAATTGTTGAAGTTATAACCATGCTGAACTAGTGATGTCATGAACGAAACCGTTCACAAAGATCTGATCTTTCAAAGACCCATGATTGATGCAATCACATTCTGTGACCCTACTGTTCGAATGACCCTGTGAATGACGCTATATAGTGTTTACGGAAGAACTGTGTGATCGCGACACATTGCTCAGTCAAATTAATGCGTGAACCACTAACCTCAACAGATCGTTCAAATGCTGATTTCAGTTATTCAGAATAACGAAACCCTTATGCTGCAAAACTGTAAAATTATATAGATTCAAATTGTTGAGTCAATAGTCCCGTAGGCTGTTCTGTTTATAAATTTGTAGGAAATAAAATTCATATTAATTGTTGCATTATCATTCTTTATTGAACATAACAATATAGAATTTGTAATTTTACTTAACTTTTTCAAGTATTTTTTTTTAAATTTTAATGATTTCTGAAGAAGATGATTTGCAAAATACAAATCTTAATGTCAGCCTTAAACTATATTTCATTCTTAAATTTATATTCTTTGTTTCAAGTTAAGAAAATAACATTACGCTTATGGAGATCAGTGTTGCCAAAACTCTGACACTCTCTTTTGCATGGATGTCCAAGATATTCCCTTTGCTTAATTTTTGAATTTTCATTTTCAATTAACATTTAACTGGAAAGTCAGAATAACTACTAAATAAAAGCCTTATTATCATTATGTAGTCAGAGAACGATATAAAATAGCTGACATACGCACATCATATTATTTTAAGTTGCAATTAGTAATTGAATATACACATTCCAAGCAGTCAATATTTTCTACTTTCTATGATTCATGGCATATCGTATTCTCACCGAAAAACAAATAAACTGTCGTTACTATAATTAAAATAAGATAAAATAAAATTATCTTTTGTAAATAATATTTATCTAATTAAAATCATTTTCCCTACTTTTCATCTCTTGTTTCGAATGAGCACTTTTGGTCAATTAAGTTAAAAAACATTAATTTAATTCATGTTTGTGGAAATGAAAATACAAATTATACAACCCTAAATTGTGCTTGTGTGTGTCGTGGCAACGCCGCGTTGCTATCGTCCATAAGAAATACATGGCCCTATCTCCGCAATGTTATTTTCTAAACATGGAACGTAGTAGTGACAATATAGAATTCTACACGCAAACAACAATATAATTAAAGTCATTCTAATGAAGGAATCTATATGAACGGGTCCTGCATTATCATTAATTCATACACTCAGAAATATTCATAAACATATAAATAAACTCTGCACAGTTGACTTTTACATAACAAATTTAATTAGCTGTTCATATGAACAGATTATTATGAACGGGTCATTTTAATGAATAACTTGGTCACCCGGGTCACCAAAACGAACCAGGTATTTCCATCAGTATACTGAACTCAAAAAAATAAACATTGAGTAGGACCATACTACCCTCTAGAATTAAGGAACTGTCTAAAATATACAGTAGTTATATAGATTTTTTTATTGTTGAGTTTCTTAATTTGGTATGATGGGTTCTGTGGAATAGCAGTACAAATATTTTGTAAACAATGTGTACATTTTACCCATGAATGTGGTAGAAAATAAGTGTTTTTTTTCAAACATTTTGTGAAATTTATAAAATAATTACTCAATTTGATCTTGCTGAATCTTGATCTTTAATTATTTATCTATAGATACTTCAGCTATAAAAATCAGAATTAACAAAATATATATTCAAGTTTAAATATACAAATGATTTTATTAAAATCTTTTAAACTTAATGCACAATGTGTTCAGTCATTTTGAAGTTAACTTTTCCTGTACTGTTGGTTGAACTTCAATTAATGATTTTTGTGTTATATGTTAGGTTTAAGCGGATAATAGTGTAAATGTCTTATAAAAACATTTACAAAGTGTCAAAATAATTGCTTTTTTGCATCAAGAGCTTTAAAATATTTAATTTTTGTTATTTCATGTAGTAATCTATCTTGTAAGAGATCTAAGACAAATTATATCACCTATGTTGTATTAATGCTTTCAAGTGAAATTGTTTATTGATAATATTTTACATTTTAAAAACTTGTTAATTTAATTTTAGAAGTATACCCCATGCAGCTCGTTTAAACTTTTTGGCGATTCCTGATGACATACTTATAAAAAATAAAGTAAGTCAAGAGCATATTAGGAGAGCAAAAAATAGCAAAGAATTACATGAATGTATCTTTGAAATCTCTAGTAGAGCACATCAACATCTTATGAAAGCAAGAAGTCTGATGGAGAAAGTTCCACAAGAAGGAAGAAAAGTGTTGTTGCCTGCTGTTCCTGTTTTTATTTATCTAGAACGATTACAAAATGTAGACTATAATGTATTTCATCCATCACTGCAACATAGATCTTGGAAATTATTACCACAGTTATGGTTTACAAATTTTAGAAAGAAATATTGATAAGTTTATAGTATTTATGTAATAAAAGTTGTTGTTATTGTGTTAAGTGTATTTGTAATAATTCCTTTTTCTTAACATGTTGTGTGTGAATGATGTCAAAAGACAGTCACACATACATAACATCTTTTGATGTCATCAGCACATTAATTGCTTTAGTATATCGTCAGCCTCTGCTGATAAATATAATAATCATTTGACAGAGGAATCATACTACTGAGAAGTGAATATTTTAAACTCATCCTACAATGAAGCGAATCTCAACAATTCTTTAGATATTCCAGATATGCAACAAGCAGTATTAACACAAACTACTGTAAATGCCACAATGTGGGACTCTGTTGCAATTATTCCAACATTGATACCATTTTCAAAGCAATGGAAGCTATTAATTGTGTCTAGTGGCAGAATTGTATAGAATTATATAAGTATTAAGTCAGGGGTGCTCAAAGGGTCGATCGCAATTCACGGAGAAAATACGGTGACTGTCTTGACTCACCACACGTGCATGATAGAAATAATGATGATGGTATCTCTGCACCCAAAAGTTGCGATAATGCCGATTTGGCATATCAGCATTCACAGATAAATTATGGTACATTCGTTCAGTAAATTACCAACTGTAAACAAACACACATGTTGATATTTGTCAAGAGGCTATTAAATATAATTTATTGCCTTAAGCCAGACCGATTCTCATTTTACAAGTCCAAACTTACCAGTGTTTAAATTCAAATTGTATTTTTAGCATGTTGGTATTTAAGTTAATATACTGTGTGTTATATGTTATAGTTCATATGCTATAGTTAGACGACATCATGAAGATGACAACAAAAATTGTAAATTTAATCAGAGCGCGAAGCTTGCAACGACGTCTTTTTAAAGCGCCATTGGAAGCTAGCGACTAATGATTTACTTCTGCATACAGATGCGAGGTGGTTGAGCCGTGGAAAATTTTTAGATAGGTTCCAGGAGCTACTTTCCGAAATAATTTCTTTTTTAGAAGAAGAAGGGGACGACACTCATCTACTTCAAAACGAAAATGACTCAGTGATCTGGCTTTCCTAACAGATTTAACAATCATTTGAACTACAGGGTAAAAATAAAACAATTATCGATATGATAAGCGCAATACATTCTTTTGTCAACAAATTGAAATAATTGATTAAGCAAATTAGCAGAAAGAATTTAAACAACTTTCCATCGTTGAAAAAAGGGTAGCCGCTCACTTGAATTATGTTTATTACTGCAAACATTTCATAGCGAGATTGAAAGACGCTTCGCTGATTTTAAAAAACTGACATATTGTAACATTCATGTCTGATCAATTTTCTTGTCAAGACGTGGAAAAAATAGTCCATTTCCGTCCAAAATGAGGTACTGAAAATAATCTCGGATATACACCTTAAACCCAGAGCGACCGATACGAAATTTTGGTCTTCATATCGCCTGAAAAATATCCGGCTTTGAGACAAGTAGCTCACAGCATTCTTTGGATCAACATACTTGTGAGTCTGCATTTGCCCAAATGAAGATAGTGAAATCAAAATATCGTAATCGGCTAACTAACAAACATCTCCCTTCATGCTTGCGTTTGGCCCTCGGTAATTATCCATCATATGAAATACTTATGGATGATATGCAGTTTGTTTACTATGCTTTGTTTTTAAACCAGGAGGAGTAAACTAAAGAGACCGATTTATATCCAAGAAAGTCGCTAGAAAAGTTACCAAATACATCTTCTTTTTTGGTTGATCATATCGGCCTTTGACGGTAATCCAAAAATATTATATTATACTAATACGTCGCTAAAATGTTCTAAAAACATATTTTTTATATACAAGCACACTACAAGTCTAAAAATTAAAAGAATAAGGCAGAAAACACAAAAAATCGCCGATATAACTTAGAATAAGTGTAGAATTAACCTATGAAATGCCATTATGATTCCAATACGAGATTTGAGAAATGAATTCGAAATTATATCGTAACTTCATTTGTATACATGTTTTAAAATTTTTATTTCTAATATCAACCTTTTAGAATATTATGAACAGAATTATTTTGCAGCTTTAGATTTTAGAATAAAAATATACAGAAGGAGACACATTTAACTGAGGATTCGCGGAAAGACGATCCTATTGGAATGAAAAATTTTAATTTTGCCAAATCTGGTTATTAGTAGATGTTTCAGGGACTGGTCTTCCATATGATCTTTTTTCCTTCTTGTAGAAGATATTTTTTTGAGACGATACTGAGGGAAACAAATGTTTATGCCGAATCATTATTTTTATCCGGTGTTGCAGAATATTCACGTATAAATCAATGCAAGCCTGTGTCTATTAACGCATTTAAACCATTTTTTAGACTTACATTACATATGGGAATATAAAAAACCAATAGAATCCATAACTGCTGGAATAGCGATCCTTTTTTTCAATTGAAATGTTTCCATAATAATATGAGCCGATCGTTACTTGCTGATTTTGAGAAATCTACATTTTACCAGAAATCCAGAAGAGGGTGTAATAGAAGATAAACTCTATAAAATTAAAACACTTCAATAATATAATGGTTGAAATATATCAATCGGGCAAAAATCTATCCCTTGATGAAAGTATGGTATTATGGCGTGGTAGATTGTCTTTCGAATATACATGAAAAGCAAACGTTACAAATACGGACCTACAATGTATGTGTTGGTAGAACCCAATGGCTTAGCGCTTTGTATGAAATTATATACAGGATGTTATGACTCTGGCGGTGAAAAAGGCCACTCTGAAAAAGTAGTTTTAGAACTAATTCGAGATAAACTTAACGTTCGGCATTCCCTTTTTATAGATAATTTTTATGGAAGTGTTGATTTAGCAAAAACGCTTTTACAAAACAATACCGTCTACACGGGAACTTTAATTTCCAAGAGAAAAGGTAACCCTAAAAATGATTTTGAAGCTAAACTAGCACAAGGACAGACAATACAAAGATAGCATTTTATAAGGAAATTAGTGAGATAAAAGAGAAGTTATGTACATATCCACATAATTTAAAAATGATCTTATCGAAGCTGAAAACAAAACAAACCAAATAAAAATAAAACCCCTACCTATATCCAAATATCATGAGTTTATGAGTGGTGTTGACCGCAAAGGTCAAATGCTCGTTTACTATCCATGTGCGCGAAAGCCATTCAAATGGTATAAAAAGCTTCTACCCTGAAAAACCTGGCCTTTGTCTTGGAAATTGTTTTGTACAGTTTCATAATGATAATAATTTGTAATTATTAATATTATTATTGTAATATATTTTCTATTAAAATTTCCAGTAAATGTTTCTTTTGACAATAACGATTTTCTGCAATTTAAAAATCATGCACATGTGAATCTCTTGGCATATGGATGAAACATTAAGATCTAGTGCTGACGACGCCTAAGAGCGTCACGCGTTAAAAAAGACAAAATTTAGCAAAAACTTTATAAATGCATTCTTCCAACAAGAAACCAATCACAGTTATAACGATATACAAAAGAAATACTATCAGCACCTGTCAATAGCATATCGTTAAGTTTTAGGCATGCGACGTGTTAATAATAATTATATAATAAAATATAAAATAATTTTTATATACGTGTTTATTTTGTAAATATTTCATACAGAAACGCTAAAAATATATAACAAATAAACATATAATAAAAAATACATAAAATTGGAATGCCTCTATTAAGTACAATCTATTAAATATTACAATATACTACACTCAAAAAGGAGCATTTATACTTAAAACTTGTATATAAGTACAGTTGATCGGAATATCAAGAACCGCGAGTGATTTATTGTGACGGCTGCCTTCTACTATTGTGTATATCTCGTGGCTTTCGTTATTCTAATCGATCTGTAGTCGATAAAATGTATCACATATTTCACATAAAAATACTAATACACTATGCAGCTCAATCCGCTACATGCTTACGCATACAAAAAAGACAATAATATGGAAGATAATATAAAAATAACTAGTTGTTTTACAAAGAAATATATTTACAATGTGTCCGCATAGTAGTAAATCCTTTTAGTTCTCCTACAAAGGACATCACTGGTTTTTCTGAACACATAAATATACAAAGGAATCCATTAAAAAAGGACACTTAAAAACGTATACCTTACATCAAAATGTTATAAGCCAATTCTTGAACTACTTTATAACTGTAACGATTTCGACTATATTTTTACAAAAATGTGTTTTATATACATTTGTGTGGGGTGCGGTCCTGATAACTATTAATAAATCACATTAGGAACCGTCCTGTTATAAATCTCTTTTTAAATGGTACAATCCATTTTAAGAAATTGTGTATAGAGTACAGCTAAACAGATTTAACTGCAATGGTGACGATTTCACACGACTAGACACGACAGACGTTGGTTGATGCGCTGTTGCCTAATCGAATATTGTGTTAATCAATATGAAAGATTACATTATTACTGAGGGCCGAAAGTCCCTGCAAACTTCTATAATGTTTATTTTAATAAGTTACAGGGGTGAAAAAAAAGAGAAAGTTTAGTGTGATTTTTAATTTCAAATATCTCATTCAAAAAACTTTTTGTTTATTCTAAGGGACTTTCGGCTCTCAGTAATAATGCAATCTTTCATTCTGCGTTTAAATTTTTCAAAAATATTTATTAGTTTTTTTAGGATTCGAAAAAAATTATTGCATTTAAAAAGCATTGGCCCGAAAGTTTGCACCTACGCTCTTGAGGAGGGTTATTCTCCTATAGTTTTTCAATTCCAATTGATCACCCTTATTGTGTAGCGGGCAGACGATCACAATACACCACTCTTCCGGGATTTGTTCGTCATTCCAGGCTCTCAATATGATTTTATATATATATATATATATATATATATATATATATATATATATATATATATATATATATATATATATATATATATATATATATATATATATATATATATATATATATATATATATATATATGATTATTCAGAGTAGCACCTCCACATTTAATAAGTTCCGCGGGTATACCACCACTTCCTGGAGATTTATTATTTTTTAGGTGTTTTATTGCATCCCGTACTTCTTGAATTGATGGAGGCTCCAATGGTGTATTGTTGCTTGCTCCTGTGGGTGGTTGATTTGGATCTTTTACTTCGATAGTAAGTAGTTCTTTATAGTGTTCCACCCACCTTTTAACACTTCTTCTTTTGTATTGAGTATATGCCCCTCCTTATCCTTAAGGATACTCTTTCGAACCAAATAAAAAACCAACAAAAATACACGCAATTATTGATAGGCGATTTAAATAAAATAAAGAAAATATTATGGGAAAAACTGTGTAGGTGTTGATATTATTGATATATAAAGATATAATTGTAAATGACAAACTGTATGCTAAACAACTTAGTAATAGGAACAACTATTTAGTCACAAAGATTCCATACAACAACTTGGACTACTTGTTTAAAACTAGATATTATTTTGTCATCTAACACTAAAAGCTACTAAAACTTTTGTCAAATAAGAGGAACAAAGAGAGAGAGAGAGAGAGAGAGAGAGAGAGAGAGAGAGAGAGAGAGAGAGAGAGAGAGCGAGAGAGAGAGAGAGAAAGGTTTCCAGAAACAGGGAGTAACTAACAACTTTCGGTTTTATACTTTTCCGCAACAACTTTTATTGGTGAATTAAAATTCTTCATGATTTTTTCTATGTATGTTCCTGTTTTCAGCGCACAAAACTAATGGATTGATTTTTTATATGTATCCTCTATTAAATGAGTAAAATCTTAAGTGTACTTTAGTAGGTATCACTTTACTATCTGTAGCATTATCTATCTGTATAACTAACTCCTTTATACACATTTTCGTAAAAATATCTTCAAAATTGATGAAATTATTCATTAGACAAAAGTTAACAAAAGAAAATCGATTTATATAAACTTTAAAATCGTTGAATATCAATAATTTGATTGAGGTGGTTTGACATAAATCTTAACATCTCCATGCAAGGAATATATTAATTGTCTATTAACTAGTCATCCACATACTGCATTAACAAACATTTTCGCAAGCTGTTGATACCCAACCTAACTTTAGAATATGATTTATTTGTGAATATTAACGCTTATTTACAACTTATTAACTATTTTATTTAAATGTTGTTCTTTATGCCACATCAACGTACAATTATTTGATAAATAAAACAACAATTAAAACATGTAAAAATTCATTGTTCGCTGTGTTTTTGGTTTGCTTTTAAATATTCATGTAATAAGTTTTAAACGTAATGTTTTCTACTGTCTATTTTACCGATATATACAGAGCGTTTCACGAGGAAACTACTTACACGATATTTATGAAAATTGGCTTATGGGGTTACACGTTATGATTAACTTAAAGAAAATATTTTGACAGACATGACACTTCCGGTTAGAGCGGAAGTCAACAGCAACTTGGATATTTTAAATGGAACACCCTGTACAATATTGCATTTTTAAATCCAATAATATGTAACATTTGTATAAGGTACCATAGGTCAAAACTTCATATTTTTTGAGTTATCCTTTTTTTTTCAAAAATTTTGACAGAAAGAGACAAACTTTTCCAGTTAATAGCTCATCCATTTACATACATAATGTCTTGAAAACTTTTGCACACATATGGTGCAATACATGGTGCTTATTTTACCAACAACCCTCTATTTAGAAATTCGATTTCTATGTAAATTCCTGAAAGAATGTTACCTACTTTTGTGTGCAAAGATTTTCAAGACATTACGATTGTAAATGGATGAGATATTAAGTTTCAAAAGGTGGTCTCTATCAGTCAAATTTTTTGAAAAAAGAACTCAAAAAATGTAAACTTTTGACCTACGGTACGTTATAGAAATTGTATGTAGAATCTTACTCAGAATCTAAAAATGTAATAATATATAGTGTTCCATTTAAAATAACAAAGTTGTTGCTCACTTTCGGTATAACCGGAAGTGGTATGTCTGTCAAAATATTTTCTTGTATATAACTTGTAATCCTCATAAACCAATTTTCATAAATATCGTATATATAAAGTAATTTCCGATGTATAGAGAGTGTAAGATGGTTGTGTAACCACTCTGTATTATACATTCAATTTAGTAAATTTAAGTTCCTAGCCGTTGTCAAATTGATACAACATAAAAAGATAATATCATTGCTTTGATCATTTTGCCACTTTCTAGAGACTCTACACCGTGGATGTAGAGAAGTCGCCTTAAACATGTATAACTCAATAGAAGTATGCATAAACAATAAAATAAAATATAAAAAACGGCAACGGAGGTTACACATTCTCCTAAATGAACACATATATGATTGAAGCAACGAAAACTTTAACAGATCAAATATGTTCAATACTAATTTGTTTGGAAAAAGGAGACATCTTTCTATAATATCCACAACTGTCATATCTCCCTCTCCGCTACAGGAATAACATTGTGAAAGTTCGTTTTTTATTTCAATCCAAAGAAAATTATATCACAAATTTTTATATTTGATTGCAATATATTTTTGATTAGGTTGTAGCACAAGAGTGTGTATGCACGCAACATTCTTAATTTCAATACATCAAAGCAATAGTGAGATATCTAGACAAATTGACTATTTTCTAAGTACTAGCTCTTCTTCAATGTACTCGACATCGGTTATATTTTCAGTGCAACACACAGATATCTAGAAAAACATGATTATTCCTATGCTAGAAACTCAAAACCCAGTGTTGCATAAACTCATAAGTGAGAGTATTGTAATGCAACAGTGAGTTATTTTAAATATCTCAAGGTGTAAATAGATTTTTTTCGTGAAACACTGAGACATTTCTCAATATTTCACTGTTGCTGGCTGGTTATTGTCAGATTTGTTATAATTATCATTCATATTATTCAGCGTGTTTTTGGACGCCGCCGTATTATTTATTACGAGTATAGTGAATGGTATCTTATGTAAAAATTGTGCATTTGAAAAGAGAAATGGGTGAATCAAGATGAAATTTGTTGTATCAGTTGGCATTGCAATAAAATTGATCAATTATTGCAGGTAGGTGTAATCATAATAATAAAAATAAAACCTAACCTATACGCCAAGTATTTTTGAGCGTAAAAATATTTACAGGTATTTATTTTTCATAACAAAATAAACAAATAAAATATAATGTTTAAAGCAATGAGAGAATATATTATGTATGTCTAAAGGAAGAAAGGGTAAAAATATTTTTTTGGTTTTTAGAGGAATTTGTTCGTGTGAAATCTCCATCCATTTTGTGATTGTTGCTTAATTGCAACATAATAAAAACTCGTAAATAATTTATCTAACGTTTTTTATAAACATCGAATAATTTTAAATCAAATACCGGATGAGTTCTACGACTACAAATCACCAAAATCACAGTGATCAGCAAAACCAAATTAATAGTGCATTTTGAATATTCTTTACTCAATATCTCAGAAAAGTAACTTGCGATAATATCTTACCGTTGCTTTGATGTATCGATATATTCTAAAATGTGTTTACGGTTTGAGCTACTAATATCATTGTATCAATTGTCTTTTTGTCATAAGTATATTCTGAACCAAGAGCTGAAAAATGATCTAACTGAATGTACAAGATTAGTCAAAAATGATGGCTATCTCGACTTAAAAACGACACAAGAATATTTCTACAATAAATTCAGTTTTAAATGATCATTTTTAATTGAAAATGTTGTGATATTCAAATAAATTGACAAAAATGTTGCATTATAGTGATGCCAATAACCCTTACTTTGTACTTATTACAAATGATGACATTTCACTGGACTTTGTGTTAGATTTAATTCATAAACTAAAATTGTATTCCATAATAAATTAAATTACTTCATTTCTTAAGCTACCACAGACACAGTAGCGTCGCGTTTAAAAATCACAGCTGCCAATTATATCATGTACACCTAATAGAAAACCACACAATTTAAAACAAACGATTTTCGAATAAATTGTATATGGAGGTTTACATTTACACTGGACGATATCACTATCTTTTCTCATTCTAACAACGGTTTGAAGGATAGTTTAGACAAGATGGTTTAATAAACCTTATATTTAAAGTAATTAAAAGGAACAAATGCATTAAAGATGAGCATTTGTTCTAAAAGGTGATTTTATGTAAACAAAAAAATTTTAAAGTCTTTTTACATCAATTTAAAATTTGTTCTTTTCCTCTACACAATAAACACATAGATTAGTAATAAGTAAAAAGGAGCATTGAATATCACTATCATAATCGCATATGGCATCACTATTCTAAATGAAAATAAACGACTTTCCTGTCTTTACATTAACAATAACATGACGTGGATTGTATAATACTTAAATTATATTTATAACTAAAAGAGAGGCCTAGAATGTAGGTAACTTAACCAGTATATTGATATGTTGCAGGAACTGGATGCATCTGGCTCGGCATGTGTTGCAGTCTTTGTATGTGGCAGTTTCGACACATCAATCTACCTTCCAAAGGATAACAGCGCTTGTCGGGTTCGTCCGTTAATTGCATGCCACACTCTTCGCATATGTAGCAATCAACATGAAAATCTTTATCCATTGATACTACTCTAACTGTTTCTTCTGTACCTTCTACAGGCGTAATACCTAAAATGCATTATTAAGTCAGTAACGATATCGCAAGGTAACAGGTCTTGTAATGGTGGATACGAGCAATCAACCGGCTGACAGGTGTGTACAAAAAAAAATGTTAGCGAATGTGCGGAATACTGCACTTAGATTGTAAAAGTAATATATTAATGTTCAAATATCAGGTAAATGCATTTTCAGGTCGTAAGATTCCTTCAGTATAATAAACACTTCAGTGTTGTGTAAATTTACCTTTAGATACGTCATCGCTAAAAATGATACTGACCTTTTCCACAGGCTGCACATTTAGGAGCAAACATCCTATGGTAATCATTCACGCAATATATTTTATTGTCAACATCAACAGTAAATGGAACACCATCCAAACATTCGTTGCAGATACAACACCTGAAGCAGCCTGGATGATAAGATTTTCCCATCGCTTGTAAAATCTGCAAAACAACGTTAATTAGATGTGGCGGGAAATACCTTACGTAGCAGAAAATAAAGAAAAATATCCACTAATATGTAAACAATAAATAGTTTCGACTACGATAAACTAAACTTAATCAATTTCATGTCACCTGCTAATATTAAAATATGTTTTGTTTTATAAAAAAAATAAACCCAACTTCTATTAGCATGATTTAGTCATTTTTCATCACATGTGGGATATAAATTACTTTTTAAGTTCTGAATTATCATTTTAAAATATTCATGCATAAGATGATCAATATTGGCTTGAAAATCCTGTTTGATGTGGCTGTATTTCCACCTCTTATGCGCTTTGTATACAAACTAAGATAGCCATTGTAAAATTGAAAATGCTATCCAATTGTAAACTCCTGTAACTGTGAACTGATTTTTTATATTCGATTTTTACTCTATACAAATTGTTTATGAAAGTTATTAACAATCAGTTAACTTACAAAATGGATAACTACCAAACGGTTGGAACAGGCTGGCTTCCGGTCCGATCTATAATGTTTTATGTATCTGATTTTTGGAGACTTATTCAATTTAAGGACGTTGAGGCGATGAAAAGGTTTTTTATAGTAAACCTATTCACTATGAAATTACATAAAAATTGTGTCCAGAAGAAGGACGTCTGCCAAAATTTCTCCTCTAGGAAATACTAAGAACTAACTGTGGTTGGCGATGAGATTGGGGGAGAGCTGGCGAGTGAAATGGTTTTTTATTTATTGTCATTAAAAATGAAAAAATGTTGTTTTTATATTATTTATATGACATAAAATGTGTCAATCTTCACAAAGTAGCAAATATCATGTTGGAAATAATGTTTGTTTTAGTACGTGTAGGGAATAAGGATACCTAGCTTCATTCAATATTAAATTCAATCCCATCCTAAATTTTTCTTTTAGTACTTTTAACTATTCCCAAAAAAATTGATTAAGCCTAATATTTCGCCGGGAGAGATACAAAATAGAAGATTGCTTCTGGGGAAGCGGTAGTTTTCTTCGACAACTATTACAGTAGCAAGAAGCACGATTAACAAGGCGTCTAAAAAACATTGAATATACTCTTCTATTGGAATGACTTCTTGCAGCAAAGGGCTCAGTAGGTAAAACAGAGTGAATTTTTGTATAAAGATTGTTTCTTCTATTGCAAAAAGCATCCCATTCAATTTCCCAGTTTTCGTTTAATTGTTTTAATTTATAATCTTGCGGCAAACCTTAACCTAAACTACTCTTGGACAAATCAATATATTATTACATAGACTGAATAATCGTCTAGTACCAAATAGATTAACCAACACCAATGCGCCCATAGTAGGAATGAGTGATTTATTTCTAGCTATTTACAACTGCTTCTTTACCATTTCGAAGATTTTTTTGACCTTCCTTTTTTAGACAGCATGCTATTTTTACAAACTTGCTTAACAATATTGTTTGTCGTTATATGTAACTACCTGTACCGCAATCGCAAGCATATTAAACACACATAAAAATTCACATTATTTTAATTTTTGTATTCATATTTAATACAGCTTCAATTTTCACTGTTCTATATTTTGTTTTATATTGTATATACTATTTTTAGATAAAAGTAAGGTAGGTAATAGATAATATGTCCGAGTGTTATGAAATGAATACTATTATAAAATAAAAAAAAATTACAACCGCTTCCGATATGGAAATCGAACCCGAATAATAAAGAGATTATTTTAGGTTTTCAGTTTCCACCAAGAATGTTAAAATATCAATAATGTTCAACATTACCATTTCCATAATCAGATGTCCACAAATGGCACACTTCTCCGCTGTTTGCTGGAATCCAGAATACTGCAACAAAAATTAATCATATTGAATACAATAAATTTAAAAAAATACTACTTAGCATCAAATAAACATCGTAATTAAAATTAAACATTAATAAACTATTTTCTAATAAGGATAAATTATAAAAAAACATTAATCAGCGTAGAAGACATCCAGCCTTGTGACTTAGATGAATTTCATTTGTGAAAAGGACAAATCCCCCGTGAACGCGGAAAATAGAGCTACAGCTGAAGAATTAATTGTGAACCAAGATCATGGAAACAACAGTAGACTGCATAACGATTTCCGGAAATAGAAAAGTCAAAACTGTCTTTTTGTGTTAAAGGTTCATCTGTTCGGATCCTGATTGGTGTGATCAAGACCTATTTGGTACAGATACAGAGTCCCCGACCAGGGGACTTCGCTTTTCTGCTCATTCCCTTTATATTGTTATCTGCAGCCTAAGTGGCTGAATTATGAGTCTTCTTCTGGACAATCTCTTTTTTTTTTCTCTGTATGCATACAACCATACTGTACCAAGGCTATAATCCACCAGAGTTCTACAGCTCTTGAGAGCATCGCATACTAACTTAATTTCTCAATTCCTTAAGGAGCATAAGGAGATCGGCATCTATTATGCCACCCATCTTTATTACCAGCCCCAGAGTGGTAAGCTGTTGTTAGACATAGACATTTATCTTTCCATTTTGACACATATGTCTGATTTTAGCGTCGATATACATGTTCTCCTCTAAGCTTATGACATGTTATTCCTTGCGGCAGACTCTTCCTATTTACATGGAAAGTTCATGTCACATGTATCTTTTTGGTTAAGTAATTTGTTAGATAATGGTAGTCTGCTGTAATAGTTATCCATGAACAAATAATAACCTTTATTCAAATTGACTGCAATCGCATCACAAGACTTTCAATAGTCATGTTTTCATCATTTTCTCGGTGGCCTTTGTATATTTCTATGTTCAAAACATAACATTGGGCAAGTTTATAGAAATTAATTCTGTATTATGACTTTTTGCCTTTCATGTATGTGCGAAAATAAAGCCTTCCTCAAAGTCTAACTCGCCTTCAGGCTGCTTTAAGATTTCAGCTCAAAACTTTATCTTCAATAGCAGGGTCAACATTTAGATTAGACATTTATCCCATGGGTATGATGATATTACATACAATTCGAGATAGAGGAATGCAATATCATCACAAATCTAATCATATAATAGCCTAGTTATGGTAGGGCTGTCTGGTGATTTGCTGATTTATCATGGTGTAGGTGTACATGTGTGTATGTGCATTTTTTGTATATGTTTGCCCTGTTCAATAAAAAAAATTAAAGTTGATGACAGCTGCTGTTTTCATATCATGTTCTCAGTTGATCCGCAGGGATAGTGTCGGGATATGAATTTTTCCACCCAGTCTGTCCTACAAATTTGATCTCCTCCGCACAGTCACAAACCTACACGACAAGAAATATGGTAATTGATACTAAGAAACAAAAACAATATAACCCGAATAAAAATGATGATACCGAATCACCTATGATCAAATATGAAGTTGCTATAAAAAGTATCGAAATTGGGAATTCCAACTAGATGTTTTAGAGAAACTTGACATAATCAATATATGATATAAAAAATAAGATATTTGCAGCCTCCTACCATTTGAGGATATACCAGAAGTTAACAAAAAGTTCCTTATTTTAAATATAACTTATATCATAACGCATTTCAATAGAAATGCTCTTGAGGATTCAAGATGACCAAGTGTTTTACGAGATATGACCTACGTTATAATATGAGATAATACAATTCAGAAGTTTGAGTCAACTTCCGGAAAATCCAGAAATCATAGAAGACTCTTAATATTTAAAATTAATATTAGCATATCTAAAATCCCCTCACCCTAAATATTCAAATAATAATTGTCAAACTTCTCTAAAATGTGTAAAAGGAACTGAAAAAACTGATAAACTCAATGCTATAAATTTCAGGTATTATTCACGGTTACTTTTGGAACCTATTACCCACACATACAGGAGTACTGCAGTACACATATATTTAAAATAAACAATAGTACTTTCTTCAAAAACTTCCCAAAATGATCCCAATTTTTTACCAGATTTAATAATAGTATATGATATCAGTAATGCAATGTTTTCATATATAAGTTTTTAAAATCAATAATCATTTTTGTCTGTTTGCATTTAGCTTTTGCATCTAGCATTTGTTAGTAAAATCAATAAAACAGATTTTATTTAAACTAAGATAAAATTAGTGTTAATTATTAAAAATATTTAAATAAAATCATAAATACATCATTTGGAGTGGGGCTTACTAGGTAATCTTCTTCACAGTAGACCCTTCCATGCACATTATAAAATGCTTTTCCCCTTAAAGCTCTTCCGCAAGAACAACAAATAAAACAATTGGTGTGATATAAGTTGCCCATGGCTTGACAGGCTTGTCCTGCACCTGTTACTTTCTCTCCACAAGTATGGCAAATACCTGCAACAAAAAAAAACAAAATTGAAATTATTCATATTTTAAGTAACTTTAGCAGATTTATCCACCACACTGTGAATAGTGTGAACGAATCCGAGAGGATTATGGTGAACAGAGAATGGGCGAAGAGTGTGGAACATTGTATCATTTGCATGTTACTAAAAGTTATATCTATTCATAGTGATTGCCAGATTCATAGATATCAGAGATTGCCAGATGAAAAATGTTTACATTTTTCTAATAATGAAGAATATAAGCCAAATGAGCATCCAAATCCTAAAGTAAATAAAATTTGGCCTATTTATCAACACTTTTCAAAAGAATTTAGGAAGTGCTATTCTCTCGATTATGACGTTACAGTAGACGAAACTTTGATATTATACAAAGGACAACTTGGATGGAAACAATACATTCCACTCAAGAGAGCTCGATTTGGCATAAAAAGTTATGTGTTGTGTGAGTCTAAAAGCCGTTATGTTTGGTCATTTGTAATATATACCAGCAAAGGAACTGTTATCAACCAAAATTATGCAACATATGGATTTACATCACAAATTGCACTATCTTTTATGGAGCCGCTATTCGACTTGGGTCATTATCTCAAAGCTGACAACTTTTATTCTTCTCCTCAACTGTCTCATTTTCTGATTACAAAAAAAAACTGACAATTATGGAACCACAAAAGCATTAGCATTACGATGGAGAGATCAAACAGATATAATTATGCTTTCCACTGTCCATAATAATCCAGATACTATAGTTTTAAGAAAACGAAATGAAGAAAGGGTAAAACCAATAGTAGTAAATAACTACAATTCTACAATGGGAGGAGTTGATAGAGTTGACCAGCATATCAGCGATTACCCAATAACCAGAAAATGTGGAAAGGTATACTACAAGAAAATATTCTAGCATCTGATACAGTTATATCTTTGGAACTCTTATTTGTTATATAAGAAAAATGGAGGACAATACACACCATTAAAATTTCGCATGAATGTGATTGAAATGATATTTGAAACCTATCACTCCAGTATAATCGTGCCAAAAACTTTTAGCCCTGGATCAACTCTAGCACCTCTTTGATTATCTAATAAACATTTCCCAGAGTATGTTCCTCCAAAGCAGAAGAAAAATAATCCAACATGTCAATGTGAGTATGTAGCAGAAAAAGGGATAACATCGGAAAAAGAGTTTGAAAAGAAACGAGATATATGTGTCCTAACTGTCAAGTGCAATTATGTGTTGTACCACACTTTAAGACTATCACACTAAATCAAATATACAAAATATACCTATGCTTTTATTGGCAAACAATACCAACATTTTTAGCACTTAATTTTCCTGTGACGAGATAACTCACAAGGATAACGAGCATAATAATTTTGGTTTTTTTTAAGAATTAATTTGCTTGAATATGTTTTATTTTTTATTTATTTGTTAATTTACATTTTGCATTCCTTTTATATACTTTGATATATTAAAAAATTGTCACAGTTTTAACAGATTTTTTCAAATTGATTCATAAGACAAGTGGTTAAAAATATTTTTTTATTTTATTTATCTAAAATTTAAACAAAACATGTGTTCTGTTGAAAAATCATTGATCACAAATAATAGAGGTGAAGTCACCAGTAATGTTCTAATTATAGAATATGATCTATAGCAAAATTGAAAATTAAACTTATTTATCTTAGGGTTTTCCCAACACAAATCTTCAGATAGGAAAATATAGAATTAATTCTCATACCATTAAATTCATATTTTAAGTTTATTTCACATATATGACTTTATATTATATTTAGATTTTAATTACTTACCAAAGTACTCTCCTTCTTCTTCATGTTTTTCCATTTCTTCCTCAATTTGTCTAGTCATTTCTTCAATTTTTCTTTCAGCCTCAGTAGGTCCCCTTGGTTTTGGAGGTGTAACACTGTAGGGTAACAAATTTTTACCAGTCATTTTTAATCTGCTGCCAGGATTACTATAGAGACTAGGAGTTGGGCTTGGTGCTGGAGATGGCTGTTTTTCCACTTTTTGGGGTAAAGGAGCTGGTTTTTTAATCTCTTTAGGTGGCACTGTTTTTGTTGGAGTCTGAGCAATACCAGTTGCTACGGATCTATCATAATTTTTGGCTGATGTAGTTTGAAATGGGGTATTTGTATTTAATGTTGTATGGGATACATTTCCTGTCATGCACACATAATCACTGCTGTTCAATTCTTCTAGTTGTTGCTGTGTTAAACTCTTAGAAGGTGATTTATTATAATTATTATATGGTGATTGAGGTTGAGCTTTACTCATATTGGGTGCTTGCATAGGGGTATACACAGAATGTTGAGAATACTGATAATTGTAAGGTGGGGGTGCATTTGATGGAACTTGAGGCCCTGGCATAGCTCCCAAACTCTTTTGAGACATATGTAAATTTTCATATACAGGTAGACCATCTATTTCTGCATTATGTCTATTATTACCAGTTGGGACCTGAGGTTGAGCTTTTCTAAACCCTACTGAATTGTTGCTAGTACCATAATAAGGCATTTTTTTAGAATTGTACTCTACATTTTCATAGACAGCTGAATTTGTAGCCATACTTGCTCTAGGGCTTCCTGAGTGTTGTGATGATCCACTGAGTGAATGTGTAGGACTTGATGTTATAGGGACTTGTGGTTTTGCACACTGTACATACACATCATCTTCATCATAAGTTTTTTGGCTTGCAATTGTCTCAACACGTTTGGGAGTTGCATATTTTGAACTAGCTATAATGTTGTTTCTTTCATACATAGCATATTCCTGTTTCTGAATATCCCTTTGATCTCTGGTAAAGCTTTCTATTGCTCCAATCGATTTCTGTTGGAAATTGGGTACTGATGATTCTGCACTCCTCATATAACGTGAATCCTGATCATTAAGGGACATATACTGTACTTTTTGAATATAAGATTGATCATCGCCAGATAAATTTCGATCCATATTCGTTGTTTGGAAAGTCTAGAGGTTATGTTATTATCACTCTATAATATTATAACAAAACATTACAGTAAAATATGCGCTACTTTTAATTAGTTTTAATCTTGAATAAAAATTATCGATAACAAAACTTCTGATCTGTCATTGTCAATGTTGTCAATCAGTAAAATTTTGACATTTGAACTTGTGATTTTTGACATTAACAACTCTTCTCATCTTAGTGGCTTAGTGCTGCATCATTTTAAAATAAGGTCAACAGTTATAGTGTACCAGACATATTAAACCATATTTTGATGGTGTTAAATAGTTTGGTTTAGTTTGTTAAATAGATTTCTTTGAGCTTTGTAGTACGGTATATTGCATGTGGTAGTACATAGTGAATAGTACGAAAACGAAACCAACGTGAAATACTTTCTGGTTGGCCTCGATATGAAACATCATGAAGGAAAGCACAGTCAATGATAGTCAATCACTTATTATTCTCGAGCTAACCTCCCTTTGAATTTCTTCCCTTGTGACATTTAAGTGTGGTATATTCACTGATCCCAATCCCAACCACTCCCAACTATCTAATAAATTAAGTAATTAAGCACCACCCATGCAAGATAGGTTTGCGTTTGCACTAAATATCACCGTTACCAACTTGTAATAATTTGCATCAATGATGTATAATTTACCATGTTCATAATTTTTATGTTTATGCGTTACCGACATAGTGTCATAGAAAGACTATGTATCGTTTATTTTTTAGACTAGAGTCCAAGAAAAATATTTCATTAGTTTTGATCTTTCGGCTCCAATACATTGGATTTAGGCAATACTTCATACACATTTAAATTTAAAGAGACCCTGAGAATATTTTCAAGGTTTTTCGATCAGCTGTTTGTAATAGTTTTTAAAGTTTAATTTATATTATTTGGAAGGTGAGGAAATTAAATAAATACTTAACTGTATTGCATACATGGTGAATTTATATTTATTAATTTATTAGTCAGAAGCTTAAAAATTCCTCTTGTAAATGAATACTTGTGCGTATTTGTTGTATACATACGAGTTGCGCATTGCGCCCAATCGCGAAATATAGCCGATTATTGAAACTATCGTAACATTGTGAAATTTGAAATAATATTTATATTGTATATATTTGTGTCTATGTGTCTATACGCGCTGTGATAATCATTTATCGTCTATCAATTCAAGTGGTTTGTCTTAGTATCAAACAAACAAATTATCGTTGGTCCTAATAAGACACACTAGATCATAGGTGATATTGATATTATATATAGGTGCTACAATTTTTGCCTTTTTTTTGGTTATATAGTTTCAAGTCTTTGGTTTTTGTGAAACTTTAAAATCGTGTTGCAGTAAGTATAATATCCGTATTCTCAATAATCTTCTTTGACAATAAAAACAAATAGTACTTAATTATTTTAAATAAAAAAATATTAAGTCAGGTATTAGGATAAAATATCTAGGTACAATATTCAATTATAATTAAGTTTACTAAAATGGATAAAAATGGATCTTAAATAAAGTTCTTCAAAGTTATAACTATTTCCGATGTTAGGTTTACTTTTAATTGTAATGTAATAAACATTTTTAAGTTGTTTATTTAAATTATACATTCGCAAATAATATAATTTCATTTTCTTTTATCTACTTCATTTTTACTTAATGATTGATTTATTATCCGTCAAATTATTTGTTTTAAATTTATATTTTCTTGTTTAATCTTATCTTTCCCTGTTTAGGTTGATAGTTAAATTAGATTATTAGATAGATCTTTTAACGACAAAAAGCAGTTAAACGGGCATTATAATATATCTTGATTCCCGTACATGTTAATTTTAAAAATTATTTTGCAAAATGTCGTTTTAAAGGATCGCAAACAATAACAATTATTTTCACACATTTTCCAGTTACTTGTTGAAAATTCTAGATATGAGATTTTTAATTTTGGATATATTGCGAAATCTCCTTGACATTTTTTGTTCATAATTTTTTCGAAAGTCGATCAATCACAGTTATTTCATTCCAATAAATTTTTTCATTTTGAGCCTCAAAGTAGGTACTATTTGGATAGTACAAACGTCCGGATAAAAGGAGATAAAGGTTTTGTTTGGCTAGCTTGTACTCTAAATAATTTCAACATAATATCCAAGAATGTGTTTGTTTTGAATAAATTTATTAAGTTATTTGATACTTAATTGGTATGAATCGCGACATAGGTATTCGTAATGTTACGCAAGAGCAATGCAATTTAATTTGCTTTGCTAATTAAAAAGTTTTTATTGTAAATGCTTTGTTGTATACTACTACTGCTTATCATAATAAGTGTTTTACCTTTGCATACATTAAAATTCAAACCAAAATTCATATTTAAATGTAGGTTTACTTGTAAATTTCTAGCATCAGTCAAATTATTTTGTTGTTTTTGTCAGGTACGTCGTATTTGGTTTCGTTTTAAAACACTTGAAAGTCGTCTTTAGAAATAATCCCTAATCCTAATACATGTTGCTGACACAATTGCTGCATCAGCTCTATCTGACAAACCCATCTAATATTTTTGCATTTGTAGTAACATGTAACATTAATAAGCCTCGTACATACAAATAAATTTTGTGGCACTCCCAACTGTGGTTTATGGTAGAGAATCGAAGTTCTGAATTTTAAGAAACGCTTCCGATCGCCATTTTGATTTTAGGTTTTCCAAAATTTTCCCCTTAATTTTTTAGTAAATGCGATGGGTGAATAACCATTATTCCATTTTTTTCTGGAGGGATAATCTGATTATCCCTCCAGATACTGACAGAGAATGTAGCGTAGAAGTAATTTTAAACTGTTTGTCCTCGTTTTAGTGTAGTGTTTTGTACAATTATGTTATTTTTAATGTTTCCACATTCTACGCTTGCCGGATAGTTCACATTTTGACGAAATGCCCCTGAAGATGCTATTTTAAGCGAAAGTACTTGGGCTAGATTTAATTAACTTGTGCTCGATAATAGCCTTATTTTTAAAGTTCATTTATTCGAGCATTCAACCACATTTCATTCATATATAAATAATTATATTATAAAAATCCAATACTTCAGCGGGCTGCTGGATTCTGAAATCATAAAAATTGAAAGCTACACATAAATCTACGATTTTATTATGCTGTCAAACCAGTTATCGCTTCCTTAGACAAGCCCTTCTTTGAGCGGTGTTGCCAACCTCATTCCTTTAGATGTTTCACAAATAAGGTGTTATCCATAAAATACTAACAAGAAAAAAAGAAAATAACTACAAACCATTAACTTTATTTTTGTTATTAGTCTGTTGTAGTAGATTGGTAAATACAATGAAAAATATAGGCAAATATCCGATTTATTTAAAGATACGAAGAAGATATAACTCTCAAAAAGATCCGCAAATCGGATTATTACACGGAGATTGGCAACATTGTTACGCAAACAACATTGTTGGGAGACAGATAGTTGAACGATATTTTATACAATGTCTAAACCCAGGTATGGATTTATTTTTGTCCAAGTTTTATATTGGTCCACTATTTCAAATGCAGTTCAAACAGACATATATTAAATTGTATGATCCGTTTTAAATTCGTTCAATCTGTATATGCTGGTTTGTTGTATTTCAGCGACTTCTTTTATTTGTCTTATTACAAAAACTGCATCAGTGCATGATCTTCCTGTCCGAAATCCTTGCTGTTCCTCTTGCAGAGGTATTCGTTCGTTTATTTTGTCGCTATTATTCTTGTTGTCAATTTGAGTGTTGTATTTAAAATATTTATTGCTGTATAATTACTGGGGTCTTTTTTATCTCCTTTTTTGAAGAACATCACCATCATCGCTCTCCTCCATTCATCTGTTATTCTGTTCGTGATGATTATTTTATTATTAAGAAGTTGCAGTTGTTGTAAAATGTGATAACCTCCATATTTTAAGAATTCATTTGGTATTTGGTTTTATCCTGGTGACTTTCTGTTTTTTAATTTGTGTATTCCTTCTTTCATATCATTTTGGGAGATTTAGGTCTTTTCCTCAGTTATTATATTTGGCGTTTCTGGTAAAGGTTCTTCGTTTTGTTTTTTAAACATTTCTGTCAGGAAGGCCACCCATGTATCCTCTTGTATGTGTTCTATTTTAACTAGTTCTTTCATTTCGCTTCTTTGTTGTCTTATGAAGCGCCATACTTGTTTCTGTTGTCCATAGAAATCCATCCTTAGTCCTTTTGTGAATCTTTCCCAGTAATCTGTTTTTGTTTTCTTACCAATTGATGAGTTTCAGTTCTTATTCTTTTATATTCTTCATTCGTTTTTTCTGACTTATATTTTAGGAAAGCTTTCTTTTTTTGGTGACATTTTTGTTTAACCTCTAGTGTAAACCATGGTGTTTTCGTTGACCACGTTTTGTTTATTATTTTCCATCCAGAATATTTTTCCATATAGCATCCAGAATATTTTTCCTAAGTTTTCTCCAGCTAGTCTCTACATTGCTTTCATTTTCGATATTCTCCATTTGTATATTCTGTTCTAGCCTTTTTTGTTATTATGATTTTATGGAGTCATCTCTTAAATTTTCTATTTTTATTATTTCCTCTGAATTGGTTTATTTAAGCTTCTCCTTTTATCTTTCATTGAATCTAATTTTACCAAGTACCAACTAGTGATCGCTTCCCACATTGGGTGACGTCAAACTTCTCAGATCCACTATTTGTTTATGGTGAATATTTCTGTTGTGATGACATAATCTATCATTGATCTATGTCCTCTTGTATTTTCAAACGTGTATTTGTGTTGAATTTTATGATAAAAAAATGTGTTGGTTATTCTCAGTTCGTTTGATGTGCAGAATTTCACCATTCTCTTTCCGTTTTCATTGATAACTCCTTCGTTAAACCTTTGTTTTATTCCTGGTATTACTTCATCTCCTATTCTGGCATTGAAATCTCCCAATAATATAAGTAATTCATTTTGCTTCACTTCTCTTTCCCTTAATGGCTGTAGCTCATCATAGAATTCTTCTTTATCGCTGTCAGGTTTACTGACATATCGCATATACTTACCCCTATTATGTTAATAATTTTGCTGTTCGCCCTAATTTTTACTAAAAGTATTCTCTGAGATATATACTGGCACTCTTTAATTTGATCTTTATATTTTGTTTTGATCATTATTGCTACAAATTCCTTTGCTCTTTCTTGTTTCGGAAT